CAAAAAAAAAAAAGAAAAAAAAGTACATTTGCGAACTCAAATGCATTGGCTATTAGTTATAATTTGTTGGCAACGGATCCTTGTTTTTATTATCTTTTCTTAAGAATTGTGTCTTCCCCAAACGTTGGTATATTTCTCTGACTGAAACCTTTTCTTCCACATTTTTCATTTCTCCTCTTACAAGAGTGGCTGTGTCATCTTTCTTAGTGTGGTTAATGGCTGAAAATAATCTAGAATTTCAAGCACGTCATGTACAAATTAACATTGAAAACGTGTATATTTGGACAGTTCTTTTATTTAGGTGTAAGTGCTCGACAATCGACAACAATATTTTAAAAAAATATGGAGCAACAAAATAAATTGTTCTTAAAGAACGTGCTGAACATATCAATCGTCAATGGCAGAAAAGAAGACAAACCAAGAAGTACTGGAAATGGCAAACATGTAATGATAACTCATCAAAAGAATAAAGATGTGACAGAAGAAAGCCATGGGGCATGTATACATAAACAGAGGGTTGGAACAACTGTAATAGTATGGTGTGGAAAATCTAAGAGAAGAAAGCCAGTGACATCAACGCAAAAAAGAAAATAATTAAAATAGTCAGTGGTCCTTGATTATAACCTGACCATCGGGACCGACGGGATATTACTGTTGTAGCCGAATCCTGTTAAAGACAGGGATAAAGTTTACATACACTATAACTAATAATGATTCACGAATGGGACCGTTTTGATAACATAGCAAACCTTTTTGTTACATAATATCTATCATTGATAAAAAAATTCACTACCGAATTATCACTAACTGCCATCTTTTTATGTTCTTTGCTCCTCAAATCTGTTGATTTTGTTGTTGTTGTTGTTGGTGGTGGGTTTTTTTAGTACATGTATCTTTTATTCGGACTCATGAAGGTTGACTAGACATATATGTAGCCTGAATACCTGGGTACCAATGCAATGACCAAGAACTCATTCACAAAGGACTCGAATTAAACAGAGATCGAAAACAACAGCCACCAATGCTTAGTGACAAAGTAGGTGGTTGGCTGGTGCTCTGGTGCGGTTTGCTCTTTCTTTCTTATCAAACAATATGTCGTCACTTTCTCTCCTCTTTCTGATTGTTACTCTGATGTAACACCTCTAGTCCTGGGCACTTATACTTATATGACCTAGATCTAATTGTGTTGCTAGAGCTGTACTACACACGCAAATAGACAGTTATTCTAGAAGCAAATAAAATGCAGGATTTCGATATTGCATTGTAGGTTTCTCGTGATGGCTTCGCGCTCCTCTGCGGACGTAGGGACGGGTCTGTGATCCGAAAATCTCAGAAGAAAAGGGTAACAACACAAGGAACAAGCAGATTTTTAACGCTGACGATTTTGTTGGTAATCAGCAAGAATTTATAAGAAATAAAACAACAGGACATGTACCAAAAAGGTTTCTTTGAATTTGAAGCTAGTTTCTTGCTGATTTTATTGCTATTGTTTCCAGTGTCTGCTTTCCCCCTACAATATTAGCTGGCAGAATAACAGCGCTGTGTGGATTAATTAAAATTATTTTGGATCTTAATCTGCCGAGACAGTGCATGGGGCGAGGGGGGCGTGGATACTTGGTTGCATTCTCAAGTGCAACTTTATTCCGAATTGCACATGGGTACTCGTATTTAGAACTAAAAGAACTATAAATGTCTACGTTCATAATCATGAGGTCACTGCGTTACCATACGGCCACGGTCATGTCTATTGTAATCGTTGTCGTCGCTAGTTGTAAAACATGTACATTTGTACTGCCCATGCAATGCCCAGCGTTGAGTCTGTCGATTATGTATGTTTGTGTTTATGTTCGAACGATGTTAGGTTTACCGATTTATAATATATTGTGTGGCAGAAGCCTGTGAAAGCAGATGCCCAGGGTTTTCAGTGTGTGACAATTCTTACTCACTTCTAAAGCAGAAGATGTTCATAAGTTCTTTACGAAATCGCGTGTTGTACACGGAGTAGATGAATATATTAGAGGAAAGCCATGCGTATAATATAACTGCACGAAATTGAAAAGAAATAACGTTTGAATTAGAATATTCTCCCGAGTCGGAAAATCTTGAAACCAGAAGTTGAGCATAGATGAGCACAATAGAAGGGAAGGTACAAGAGACGAACAAAGTTGATACCATTGTAACTGCTTGAATGGCGCGAACTTCTTTGGTTTTTGGACTGCCTGTCTTTCGTACAAGAGACTAACAACATGGGCTTAAGCCTAAACATCAAGAAAACTGAAACAGTGGTGATAAGCAGAAAAAATGCAACCCCAAAATGCAATATCAAAATCAGTGATATCACCTTCACGAAAGTAGAACATTCAAAATATTTGGGGACAATTATATCATCAGATGGGAGATGTCACACCGAAATTAAAAGCCACATTTACCAAGCAACCTTCCACAAAATGAAACAGATACTCACAAACATTAATCTGTCACTGGAAACAAGATAAAGAGTACTGAAAAAGAGCGGAACGACTAAAGCAGAGTTAAATATTGATGGCACCACTCCAGACTAAAGAAACTCTTTATTTTTAATGATGGGCGTTATAAACCCAGGAACACTACCACGATGTGTGATTTGCTGTGGCTTCAAAATATGATTATGGTGGAACTCGGATTCAACAAAGTTGTCATGCCCGACCTTCAATTTCGTTGAGTCTTGAGTGTTTGTTATACAGCAAACATGAGATTTTTTGTGTTGGTACTTACGGGAATCGGGTAAGTAGGTACTTTATAAAGGGAGGTAATAAGAGGCAGGCTACCCTAAAATGCTTTATGTTTTGCCCCTTTTCGACTTCCTCTATCAGATTTAATCAGAAGAAGAGAAAACGAAGAAGAAGAAGAAGAAGAAGAAGAAGAAGAAGAAGAAGAAGAAGAAGAAGAAGAAGAAGAAGAAGAATGATTAAAAAAAAGGGGATTCGAATTCCTTTCGTTGAATCCAAATCTTCATTAAATCCGAGTTCGTTGAATCCGAGTTCCACTGTATTTATAAGGAGTCATGTCATTTCTTGTCCTGATTATGAATATCATGTCTATGACTAAAATGTTCAAGGAGGCCCTTTTCAGGAATATTTGTGGGAAAATATGAAGCATTGTAGTTATTATCATCACTATTTGGAATACATTGCACTGCCATGTACAATGTTGGGCCTTTTTGTTTGTGTGTTTATGTTTTACAATGCTAGGTTGGTCGATTTATGCAAGTGTATTTCGTGTACCAAAAGCTTGAGAA